TTGCAGGAAGTACTGGAGCTGCATTCAGTGGTTCAGGTTTATCTTTCGTCTTCCAGAAAAAGCAAAGGGAGTTTGAGGAATACATCCGAGACAAATACATCACTGCCAAAGCCGACTTCCGGACGCTGCTCAAGGAGACCAAATTCATCACTTACAGGTGGGGAATGCCACGCTAGTGCAGGGCTTGGCTTTTACTCTGCTTTGCCATGCGAACAAAGCAGCAAACTGATGTCTGTTTTTTTCCTAACCGATGTCTATTACTCAGGTCTTTCACGGTCTTTTTTGCTTAATTAACACAGCACAAGTGTAGGCGAGGAGCCTGTGTTTTCTGTGCCCAGAGCAGTCAGGTGCCCAGCCCCAGGCTAATGTGCCCTCTTTCGAGCCCCGAAGGTGGCCAAGTCCCTGCAGCCTTCCCTGGCGGGCCTGCCTGTCCCTTGGCTCCTGGGCTTCCCCGGGGCTCTCCGCCTCCAGGCTGCTCCAGTGCTGTTCTCCTGCTTTCAGATCCAAAAAGCTGATCCAGGAGTCCGATCAGCACCTGAAGGACGTGGAGAAGATCCTGCAGAACGACAAGCGGTACCTGGTGCTGGACTGCGTGCCCGAGGAGCGGCGCAAGCTCATCGTGTCCTACGTGGATGACCTGGACCGGCGCGGGCCGCCCCCGCCGCCCACCGCCTCCGAGCCCACGCGGAGAACAACGAAATAGCCACGGAGTGCTCCTCGTCCAGGGGTGTCTGTGAAATCCAAACGCTTGCATGAGCCATCTGTCAGGTTACACACATCCATTTGCCGTGAATATATTCAAACATCTGAGGAGCAGAGGCAGAAGCAGCACTAGTGAACGTAAAATGATCTCTGGGGGGAAAAACCAACAGCAACAAAAACCCACATTAAAGATATTTATGAGTTAATTGGAGCATGACTGACAAATCCCAAGGTGTGGGCTGTCTGGTGACTGTGGGTCTAGGGGCGGGCTGTGTTGAGGTGTGGGTGTCTGCTGCCTGGGGCTTTCCTCTCAGCAGTGTCCTACATGTGAGTCCCAAGGGTGATCCTGTTGTGCTTTGAGCGTGTCCTGTGTGGTGCCACCAGCTGCCTCCTGGTGCCCGCAGTCCGTGCAGGAGGAGGGGACACGCTCTGGTAGCTTAAATCACTGATGGTTGACAGCTCGCTCTGGAAACGGCAGTCCCAGTTCTCTGCTTCCACCCTGGGGAATGGGACTAAATCTGTTAAGAGCCAGGGTTAGAGCCGAGTGGAGAAAGAACAGGGACTTGGAGACCAAGCCAGGTTTGTTCACAGGCTGCTCTGTTCCTGCCCCCAGCCACTGGTTTGCAGCAGTCAGGTTGCTCTGCCCAAGTGAAGCTCTGTCTAATGAGGATTGCTCGAAGCTGGAAATCCCAGAGGTGACCGAGCAGAGGCCAGGACGGTTGTATAAACACATTTTTATTTACGATAAAGTGATCTTTACATACTTCTGGATTAGACTGTGCATACCCCCTCTGGGCAATTCTTGTAAACTATACTCCTGTTTTGAATGTTAAACTTTTGTTTCTAAAGTTTAATTTTGAAATGTTGGGATTGTTCAGTTTATGTATTTGAACTACAATAAACCAACCCTTTTTATATATGGATTGTACAGGCCTAATCCCGATTTCTGTTGGATTTTGTTGGATTTGTGAATTTACGAGTAAAGCAAACGACTGAAGTGATAACTGGCCTACATTCTTGGCTGTGCTCGGCAGAACAGGGCCTGTGGCAGTGTGGGGTCAGCATGTGGGCAAGGAGGGGTGAGCAGAATGATTTTCTAGTTTAGCTCTTTTGTCTGTTGCTTACACATGAGCTGGCAGTGCTTGCAGAGCCAGATTTTTTTCTGCTGCTTGCCCTTAGAGGAGGAGGCTGAGCAGCAAGAGAGAGGGGTTGTTTGACAATGACTGGGAAAGTCTGAGGAGACTTGTGCCGCTGACAGTGGGAGGTGGAGCTCTGTGGTGCTCCTAGGAAGAGTGTACGCCCCAAAGGTCGTGGCCAGTGTCCCTCCCCTCTTGGCGCCTGCCCCTTCCACTGGTGTGAGGGCACCCAAACCACCTGAAACCAGTGTCAGTCAATGCCTTTGCTGGGGGTGAAGTGAGGATTGCAGCTGGCTTGCACCAGAAGGGTGAGACCTGTGGGACACGTAGCTCCCACCCAGAAAGTGCAACCACAGCTGGTTGTGGAGGACTGTGCAGGGCTGGAGGAGCCGTGGCTGGGCTGCGGGACAATCTCCCTGTATGACAGCCAGCTCAGCTCATTCCAGGGCTCAGCTGCCAGTACTGAGCCCCCTGACTTGCCAGCACAGGGTGGGCACAAGGGGACCCCACTGCCCTCCCCACATTCTCCTGGCCCACCTGCCCCTGCCAGCCAGCACCGTGCCCTCGTGTGTGGCCACGGTCGTGTCTGGGACACAGCTGGTGCCCAGAGCAGGACGGTGTGCCTGAGCCCACTCCCTGCCTCTGCCAGTAACTGGATTTCCTCTTGATCAACACGGCCCAGGGGGAAGCTGTGTTATTTGTTATGGCTGGTTTAGAATATCATGAACTTGTTCATCAAATAAGATGGCTATTAATTTTAATTGATCTGGTTTATGGAGACCAGATGTTCATATAAAGATTCATTTGCTTATTCTGTGGATAAAGCAATCATGCCCACATAAAGGGCTCCTGGCAGGGGGTGGTGCTGCTGGCGGACCATGGAGCTGGTTCCCCCTGGCAGCCCCCAAGTTTCCCTGGAGGTAGGGGGACAGCCCCTGGAATCCTCATCCAGAAAGAAGGCTGGGTTTAAGGGATGCTGACAGCTTCCCTAGCACCACTGCTCTGGCAGCCCAGGAGATCCCCTGGCTGGCCCTGCCCTCTGCGGCCAAGCACCCACAGCAGGACAGAGGCTAAACCCAAGCAAGCTTAAGAAAGGGCAAAGAAACACTGCTTTTGAAAACGGTTGAACTGAGTTCTGCCTTGTGGGGCAAGCAGATCCAGCAGCCCAGAACGTGCTGCACCCGATGGAGCAGAGCCAGGGCCGAGCTCCTGCTGCCTCAGCTGATTAAGGTCCTGCAGCTAATGTGAAGGTAAATGAGTGTCTGAGGAACATCCCCCTGACTACACAGTCCATGCCCTTCGGCTGCTGCTGATTAAGGGCTGCTGTTTGAATTCATCACCAGGTGCAGCCCAGAACTGGGGCAGGGACTGGGGAGGGGCCAGCAGCTCCTTCCAGGGCTGTGTCGGGGGGCCGAGGTTCCCGTGCAGTGGGGGACCTGCACGTGTTCCCACTGTCCCACACCCTCAGAGGGACCCAGAAGTGCCAGGGGCTTGGGGATCCTCCGGTCGCCCCTCCTCAGCACGGCCCTGCCAGCCTTCAGACACCGCAGAGCCGCCGTCCCCAGCGCGAGAGGCACGGCAGGCATCGGCTCCACACGGACGCGTTTGGGACAGCTTTACTTCTGACACCGCAGAGCAGGCTTTCCTTACAGAAGCAAAAAGGAGCATTTTCTTATAAAATGGCTTGTTTACTCTGGCTATTTTATTTTACCATTTCATTTTAAAAAAAAAAAGTTACTCCTGAAAGCCATCCCTTGGAATAAATCCGTACGCCAGTGCACTTCGTTCTTCCCTTGGAATGGCTCCTCCGAAAGCGGCGCGCGGGGGGCCCCTGCCTCCAGCCAGCTCCCGGTTTTCCGCGCCGCCCGTGGGCTCTGTGGGTGTGCAGCAGTTCCTTTCCGCGGTTGGGACATGCCGTGATCCTCACGGTGCCATCAGCAGACAGGCTGTCCCGGGGGGACCACCTGGGCCTCGGTGACTCGTGGCTGATCCCCGAAGGCCTTGGGGGTGCCAGCTGCCCCCTCGGGAGGGATGGCAGCAGGGTCACCCCTGTGGAGCCGCTGCCGAAGTGAAACTGTTGAGTTTTGTAATTGACTTCATTTGCTTCTTCTGCAGGAGCAGTTTTCAGATTTACAGGAAATCCAGTCCATCTTTTTTTATTGAACAGTTGCTCAAATAAAGAGGGACCTGACCGATCTGTAAAGTAGAAAGAGGCAGCCTCGCCATGCAAAGAGAAAGTGTTACTGGTTTTTTTATTATTATTACCATTGTTATTACAATGTAGGACTGCAGACAGCCTCTCTCTGACACACCTAGGGGGTGTGTCAGGGGCTAACAGCAATATACAGGTGGATTCTTTTTTTTAGGTCATAAATTAGCAACTTATACTTTATCTTTTAAAAAAATTGAATAAATAAATAAATTAATTAAAAAAGAGAGAAAAAGAGAGAGAGAGAGAGAGAGGGAGAGAGCGAAAGAGAGAGACAGTCACAACATGCAAGAGCTCAAAATGGAATGAGAAAAATGACCAAAGCAAAGCCCAGAACTGCAGCAGAGCCCAGGGTTGGTTTGGTTTGCGATCAATGCAGGTCGGAAGCATCATTTATAAAGGTATTTTGTATACCAAAGAAGGCACCACAGTATCTACAAAGCCAAATCCTCAGGAGGGTTCTGGGGGCCGGGGGGACAGCCTGGCTGGAGCAGACACAGCTGGAGGTGCAGCACATACCCCCCCCCCTCCCCTTAAGCTTGTCCATTGCAAAACTGAACTTCTCCATTTTATGTTTGGTTTTGCTGTCTCTGTTGGTAAAACACAAAATTAATTGTAATAAAAAGACAAATGTGGAAAATGGCAAAGGGAGGCAACATTCCAATCTTCAACAGAACAGGTGGAATTATTTCTGGGGTCAGGTTTAAAGCAACTGGGGTGGGACCACTGCTACCAGAGCTGGCCAGAGCCCGCAGCGTGTTACCCCACCAATCCCTTCCCCAGCTGACAGCCCCTCCACATCACCTCCTCAGCCATGGGCAGAGGGCCACTGCCACCCCAGCACTGCCTGGGGACATGCCTGGGGACACGGGACACAGCTGTGCCCTATCCTCACACGGCCCTGTAAGAAGTCTCAGCTCTCCCTGTGTAAATCTGGTGTCTGGGGGGTGCCCCCAGCGCTCCTCTGCACAACCTTGATCTGCAGAGCAGGAACTGAACAAGGAACAGGAAGGAAAGGAAAACAAAGAAAGAAAGAAAGGAAAGGAACAGTTGAAACCTTGTGTTTACTTGTATCGGTACATGAGACTCCTAAAGAACACCTGGTCCTCCTAGTTAACCTTGTCCTGGAATATGTACAGGTTGTTCGTGGCTGCCACAGCGATGATGTTCTCGGAGGGGTGCCAAGCTGTGTGCAGAATCTTTTTGCTAAAGTCCAGACTGTCCACGCTGATCTCGTCTTTCCTGCGCTTTCCACCCACGCAGACCTTGCGGGGTTTGAGGATGGCACGGGGCTTGCTGTTCTCCCGCGACGCCTCCAGCGTCACGTCGCGCTTGGTGTTGCGGTCGAACATGCGGAAGAAATTGTTGTAGGAGCCGGTCATGATGACACTGCAACGGGGAAGGACAGATGATTTTCACACCTTTTCGGAGGCGAACTGCTGGTGACCGGAGGCGGACTGAACATTCAGAGGCATAATGAGACTTGGGCAAGCGCTGGAATTCGTCTCAGGCCAGCTGTGCCCTGTCAGCTCGCTCCGACGGCTCAGAGACAAAAGCCCTGCAAGGGGCTCACACTCTTCCTGCCACCCAGCTCGGTGTAAGTCACACCCAGATACTCAATATCCCCGGATTCTGGCAACCTGGAGCTAAATCTACCACTGCCTTCCTCCAGCTGTGGGTGACAGAGAGTCAGAACTGATTCTGTCCAGGAGAGAGCGGGACCCTCAGGACTCCCCCACCCGTGTACAGGCTGCAGGTGTAGGTGGTCCCTGCTGCACCCAGCCAAAGGCCAGGAAGGGGCTGCCCAGGGGCCACGGGAGCCCTCGGGCCAAAGCAAAGCGAGCATCCCCGTGCTGAACGCAGCCAGGCCGCCAATGCTCACCTGTCAGACCCGTTCCAGACGCACTCAAACTTGTCAAAGATGCAGTCATTCTCGTAGAGCGAGCACAGCTTGCTCCGCAGGTAGTCGTGGACCTGCCGGTGGGAGGGACAGGATGAGGCCCCGACACTGACCAGCCCAGGCTGCAGACTCAGCTCAGCACAGCCGGGCTGCCCTGGGCTCTGCCTGGCATCCCGTGCCCTCCCACGAGCGTCACTCTTCTCTAAGCACCCCCAGCCACCCCCTGCACGCGGCTTGGGCACCACCAGGCAGTGCCAGGGGACATCCCCCAGCAAAGGGTGACAGTGACGGGGCTACTGCTCTGCACAAGGCCTCCCACCTGGCTCTCCCAGCTGCCAGCACCCTCAGCTTTCTCTCCTCACCTCCCCACCCCCCAGCCTGGGGACATGGTGACAACTCACCAGGCCACTTGAGCCCACATTTAACAACTCTGCTTTCCACCATCTACGGGCACAAAGGCCCCCACAGCAGGTGTGTACCCGCTGCTCCTGGCACAGGGAGGAATGCAGGGGGTGCCCCACCGCTCAATGCACCTGGCTGTGCCACACTCACCTGGTAGGTCTCAATGGGCCGGTTCTCCATGTTCAAGTCCCACACCTTGACAGTGAGGTAGTCCCGGGTCATGATGTACCTTCCACTGTGGCTGAATTTGACATCAGAGATCGAGGAGATGATCTCAGAAAAAAATGACCGGTTACTTGGGTCTTCAGGCTCTTCAAAAACTGTGCAAGAGGAAAGAACAAGCCCCAGCATTAGCTGAGGTGGGAGCTCCCTGATCTCAGGCCAGGGACCTGCCACACTGTCCTGGTACCACAGGAAGCTTCTGGGAGAGAGCAGGTGCATCATGTTGTACCAGCACCCACATGGCTTAGGTTTATCACCCCTTCCCCAAGTCCTGGAGCTCCAGAATAGCGAGAAAAATGTCTGAAGTGCCCATATAAATGATCTCTACAATGCAGAAAAGGCACTGCCCACAGCAGAGCTGTGGCCTTCCACCACCAGCAGAAAGCCAGAGACTTTTTTCCATATTAAAAGTGATAGCAACAAGGAAAAATAAAGATCTCAGGCATCCAGAAAGCAGCTGAGCCCGGGACATGTCTCTGTTGCTCACAGCAGGTCAGTCACGAGGCACTGGAATCCCTGTGAGCACTGTGGGAATGGGCAGGAGGGCCATGGCCACCTGCCCTGCTGTGGGGGCTCTGCTGCAGGGGGTCCCAGCACACAGCAGGGCCGGGCTCCCAGCACACACTCACACACAGAGGAGATGCCAGCACACACTCACACACAGAGGAGATGCCAGCACACACTCACACACACAGAGGAGATGCCAGCACACACTCACACACAGAGGAGATGCCAGCACACACACACAGAGGAGATGCCAGCACACACACACACACAGAGGAGATGCCAGCACACAC